TTTGGCCGCGGGCCCGGCAAGAAAAGGTAGGCTATAGCTTGATGGCTTGTGACATAGTTTTTCAGCACGCGCAACATGTTTCTAGCTGTTGGGGATGTCGCTTGGGCTTATGTGTTGATTTGGCGTGTTTTTTCATCAACCATAGGCTTGACTTCTGAGGGCCCCCTGTGTTACTGATGTCGCAAAGCGATGTAATATTGAACCTTTTGGAAGCTGCTTTGTCAGGTGCAGGCACCCTTTCGTGAACCGAAGCTAGCAGGCAGATTGCTTCAGGAATCTGCCTGCTTCATACGAGATTCCATCGCCCCAGGGATGCAAACCACCGATTTTCTACGCAAGTACAACGATTTTGATGTGGTGCTTGCGCTGACTGATGTGGGACCGAAGTACCTGCTCAAGGCGCAGACAGTGAGCTTCAGAAGACTCAATAAGAATCTTTATTACAACAACAAATTTGTTAACGTGCTCATGGCCTGCATGCTGCAACACCGTGGGAAGTCTGAGCCAACTTTTTTGCATCTCACAGAGCATTTCCTGGCCCGTGGAAGTCCTTGCGCCTTGCTTGGCACCAGAAACAGACTGACAAGGCGAACGCTCATGGAAGAGGTTTGGTCTTTGCCTTCTATTCAACAATTCCATTCTGGTTTGATCGGCAAAAATACTGAGAAGGGCGAGTGGCAAATACTTTCACACGATGCTACATTCAAAGCACTCTTCTCTGTCATTGGCCAGCGGAAGATGGCGCTGGCACCTGGAGAAGGGCATGCGTTGCATTCGCTCTTGGGACTGAGCGGAGCCTTGGCAGGCTTGTCGCTTCAGCACGCAGAGGGGCCCAAATGTTTTGCTGACGCAGTCACATCTTTGCTTCCGGAGGATGCGCGTCGAACGACGCTCTGGGTCTTTACAGATTCGCCAGACACAGTGCAAAAAGCAGATCACTGCTTTCCACAGTTGCAGGGTGTTGCTGAGGACCCTTTGCACTTTGTGCTGCGGGTTGAGGCTTGCTTTGGCGAAAAACGTACAGCCCTATCCCGGAACCTCCTCCATCTGCAGAAGAAATTTGCACACGCCCTGGACTGCACCATTTTCAAAGGCGGCGCTGCTCCGAAGGCGCATGAAGGTGCGCGCTCGGTTGTTTGTCTTTACCAACACGAAACCATGCTTTTAAAGAAACATTTTTTTATAGCCTGGAAACAGGTAGCAATGAAACGTCTAACGTCGCACGCTATGATACTAAATAACGGGTGTTTGTTTGTCTTGCTTCTGATAACTCGTTTTGTGGCCTTGGCCAGAATGCGTATTGTTTTTTTGTGTCCCCATGCGCAGACCAGGACAATGGCCTGCTCGACGAAGCAACCCGCTTCACCCAGACCGGAACTTTATAGACTACAGCCAAACTCCTTACTTGGATCACCAGTCTTACATCGATGACATCGTCGATTTGACGCTCCTCTACCCTGATGACATGGGGCGCAAGAATTCCAAGGGTCAGTCCGTCAAGCAGATCCTGATCACAGGAAGTGCTTACAGACACTTTGCCTACCTCCGAAATGGTTGCTGCGCTATCTCGGCCCTTTCGCGGGAGCGCCGACAATTATTTTCCTTTGGTACTGCTGCTAATGAGGCCTTGCACGCGCAGTTCAACTCCTCACAGAGCACGGTAGTACAACAACATTTGGAAAGTGTGCAGGTGGTCTTGAAAAGTTTTTCCTGTGCCAAGTTGCTGGCGCATCACAGCGCAGCTTATGCGCCCACGGTTGCACAGAGATCCCAAAGTCAAATCTTGGCATTGTTGGAAGGCGCCCTTTTGCGACCGGACTCTGAATTTTGCAAGCCGTTTGACGAAACGCAGCCTGAAGCCGTCACTGACCGGAAACGGTTGCGGAGACCTGTGCACGCTCACGATGGGGGAGCTGCAGCTCACAGAGCCCAACTGGCAGCGCGGCAAAGAGAACAGTGGAGAAAGCACTTGCACAGTAAGAAGTGGATCGGTCGGAAGTGGACCTTGAAACGCACAGTTTTCACAAAGAAGAAACATCGTGCGCCACCTCATGAGAGGTAAGCTCCTTGTCACGGACATTGCCACCTGTGAAAAAAGAAGAGAGAGCTTTAGAGCCAGTTTGCTCCTGGGCCCCCGTGGAAATACAAATAATCAAAAAAATTGTTCTTCGAGGGTTGCCGTGCACACCCAAGTGCGCAAGGATTTTGTGTTCGCAGGTTTCCATTTGCTCTTGACACCTTTAAAGAACTGCGGCCTTGATTTCGCGTGCCAGCGGTGCCTGCAGCTGGATGCCAGGTCCAACTTGGGTGGTATAATGGCCTCATGGGTGGTTTCGCAGTCGGGCTCCAGTGTTGGACTGGTATATGGATTTGTATTTTTGGGGCGCGTGCTTCCTGATGCAGTCGTTGGAATTTCGACTTGAGCGATTCATAATATCCTCGAATCATACCCCCGAACAATGGTCTTTCTGCCTTGTTTGTAGATGTCCAAGAGCCACTGGTGCGTGGCGTTTCCAACTAGGCCAAAGTTGTTCGTCCTCTTGTGGGAACAGCAAAGGCTCACATCCCAACACAGAGCCCAACAATGAGCCTGGAGGAGCCCGCCAACTGCACGGACCACGGACCCCGCGAACCCCGCGAGCAAGGCTCTTACTTTTTCAACGACCTGCTACTCCTCTCAGGTTCTCGCCTTTCCAACACTTTGACATTCTGCCCCAGCACGACGGTGCGAAGGCACCGGGTGCATGGCATGAGCAAAGGCGGAAATCGCGCAAGTGATGTAAAAATTGTACCTGAGAACGAAGGGCGGCGCAAGCACCGGCCTGTTATTCCGAAATATCTTGTGCACAGGGGACTAGCGGAATTCTGATTCTGATGCAAGTCTGACCTGTGCTTGCAGCAAGGAAAGCACAGCAGCTACGTGGCTGCTCCGTCGCCTGCTCCTTGTGAGCTGCGACAACTCTGACACAAACTCTACCTTCACACAACAAAAGTGCAGGAAAAGCACGGCAGTGAACGCGCGCATGGCTCGCAGCGCTGATATGGCCGGCTTCCCTAGCGGCCCTAGCAGTAGTTTGTATTCATACCATGCGATGGTGTTCTCGTGTGTGATGATGTCGGCTTTGCAGTTGCATCATAAATTGCTATGTCAGCATGGTATGCCCCTGCCCTTGATTTCTTTACTTTCTATATTCGCCGAGAATTGTGTATATGTGTGTGTGATTGCGTTTAATGTGTACAGCTTTACAACCACCTAGTGCAAATAGGTTACGCGATTATTGGCTGTCTTCGCTCATGAGTCTCATGAGAGCTGCACTCCGCTCCTCACTTCATGCGTCCGCAGCTTCAGAAGGCCACCTCCCGCGGGCCCGACACCGTGGTTCCCTGTACCGTCCCCATCGGCAGCTCGGATCCGACCGCTCGGTCAGCCCAGTGGGGGCGGAGGTGAGCTGTCGGACCCGTGAAGGGCTTCTTTCCCCGCAAACCCAAGGCTTCAAACATGGCGGCGTCCTGACAGGGTGATGGAGTCCAGATGAGGGTGGGAAAACAACAGACCATCTCAAGTTACTCACGACACGCGGTTTCGGGAGAACTCCGAAACACACGCTGTGTCTGGCCCTTTTGTCCAGCCCACGCTACAAAACCCACCGCGCATCTCCGCTGCAGTTCTTCCGCCCACCCAGTCTCCTCGGAAAATTTGGGGTTGGCAGTGGTGAGGAGTTTGTCCCCCGTAAAGATCGAGTTCGCCCCTGCCATGAACATCATCGCTTGCGCCTGCGTCCAGCTGGACATGTTCGGTGCACCGAATGGTTCACACATTCAGCCCAAAGAAAGAAATATCATTTCTGAGCCTGCACATACGAGGTAGAAGTGACAAAAGGCAGCTTAAACGCTTGAGAATTGGACAGGAGACCCTGTTTTGGGGGGGAGACTTAATTTTCTATATAGGCATGTGACACTTTCGCGCGCCTCCTGTGAGAACTCCATGCGTCCAGCAGAGAGTCGCACCATGGACTGGGGCATCACAATCCGCGCTGTGGCAATCGAGCGCACCATGTCCCGCCAGGTCACTGCCGTGCCCATCTTGATCTGTCGATCACCCAAAGGGGTGCCTCAAACAAGTCCGGTGCGTGAAGATGTGGCAAACAGTTGGAATCACAAGGTCATGTTCCAAATCAACACCTATTAGCAAAGATCAGATAGTCTGCCTTTTGAGAATGACACAGCGACGTCTCCACCTTCAATGGGCACCAAGGCGTTGATGGGCACTGACTCTGGATGCTCTGGGAGCGTAGCCAAGGTGTGAATCAAGCCAATTCGGTCCTTCGACAGTGAGAGACCAATACCATCCAATACCTGCATCTCCCCCTATACCTGTGGATCATGGTAGATCCTCGCTAAAGCTGTGAATGATGTCATGATGTATAATGATAACGGTGGTTCACAGGAATCTGTTGATCAGGCGCTACCAACGGTACAGTCAACCAAAGCACAAAGGACTTGGAGTTGGCAAGCCCGAGCAGCGAGGTCTCTCGAGGCCACCAAACGTTCGAGTCCAAGCACGGCGTCAAAGACTGCCCGAAGCATGTTCTCTCTGAAACTCGAAATCTCGACTGGAAAGGAGAAAAGCCTCTCTCGAAACGTCCAACCCTGTCCTCCTGGGTCTCGGCGATGCCCAAAATCCCCCCGCAGCAAACGCTGATACCTGCCTCGCGGACGTTGGCCAAGGTCTCCAAGCGATCCGCATAGGTACCTTGCGGTCCGTTCGGAAGTTTTCGCATGTCGGAGCCTAGGCGCGAGAAGAATGCTACGGGGAGCAAGGATGTGAAGCCAACTGAAGGAATCAAGGATAGCCATAGATGGCAGTAGCGGGATATCCATTGAGAGGCCGAAAACCTAGTGCCAGCATGTGCTACTGCAGAATTCAAGTCTACCACCAAGACACGGGTCGACACGATATTTGGGTAGTGCTCCGGGCTCGTGTCCAAGTTGTGGTTATAGGCTGTGAGGCCTGCGTCCTTCAACTGCTTGGCTTGCTCGGCATTTAGGAGGCCAAGGGTGCAGCAAGTTTCCATGCCCATGCCAGAGACTTCCTGTCCACAAAGGCACCAGAAAAGCCTACAGACATCCACCCTTGGCATGCCTCCGACCATTAATTGAAGTGGGAAGCCCCCCTGCATGTAGATGACATCCACTTCCATATACGTCCATGACAATTGATGGATTTTCCTGCGATAGCATGTAGCATACACATCGATCGCCGGTCCTTCACCATGGTCAAGATATGCTGAAAGGAGTTCTTCTGACCAACGCCTCGCCAAGCAGTGCCCATACAGAACCGTGTGGACCCAGCATCCTTAGCCTTCCGCGCAGCTTCCAAGACCTCGGCCGCTGGTGCCCTCGACCAACCCTTCTGCACCGGGTGCTGGAGTGGGCGCGGAAAACGATGTTCCAGATGAGTGCTTGGGTTGGGCTCAGTCTTCACCTTCTTTTCACACTTACAACACCTGCCCCCACCTTCCCTGTATAGTTGATAGTCTGGCTGCTAGCTCTAGCCATCTGCTTCTCCAGTCTTTGCATTTTTTTGAACTGAACATCCAAGCGGCTGATGGACACAATGTCTGAAAACCAAGATGAAGTGTGACGACATGCATCCATCAATCATCATTGGATACACAATAAGTATATATATATAACATTTAGAGAACGCTAGCATAAAATATTATATATAACAATACTGACAATACTATCATATAATGCAGTATTTTTTTGTGTTTTTGTATGCATATCAACAAGTAACATAACGTAATGCAAAATAACATTGTGCCATATTATATGCTAATATTTGTGTAAATCGGTAAATCCCATTATCCATGCCAGTAACGGTGGATGATGATGGCTAGTAAAGGCCTTTGACTCTTACATGCTGGTAATTGTTTACTGACTGTTGCAGGTAATGGGACGGACACAATCTAATAATATACTTAGACAATGCAAGAATAAGTATTAAAACAGCATGCGCAAAAAACACTACAATAAATATATAGAGAGGGATCAACGCCAGTTAGTTAGCTGTCTGCTTCCGTTTCCCGACGGGCCGCGCTTTCCCCACTTCCAAGCACATTTCATCATGAGACTTGGTTTGGCCCCACACCCCCAGGCCCCCCCCTACTTACAGTACTTCATCTTACTTCTCACTTCTGCCTACTGGCTGCTGCGTTTCGATGCTGGGGGTTGACATTCATAGAAGAATGAAAAATAGAACGCATTGCTTTCTCCTTTCAGCTCTGGAGCCTCATCCACTTTCATCATATGCGTGGGCTTCACTGAGGTCTTGAAGCTTTGGCTTTGGGAACAGTAGCCACCTGGAGCGGAGGACCCTTCGCATGTTGAAACCAGGAGAAACTGAGTCACTGGCAGTAAGTGTTCACCATAGCCACATAAAACATACAGTAATCCAATGGAAGTCTGGCATAATCTGATGGAAGTCTGGTCCGTATTGGTTTCCGGCCCAGTACATTCATGGCACGGGGAGAGTAGTTGTCTTGAACGACAAGAAGACTGTCCAGCATCCTCTCGAAGCAATCAGGTGATGAAAGTACAAAACCCACTTACTGAGATGCAAGAAAGAAACGCAAGAACTTAACACATCATGGCAGAATAGGCTTTGACTGTGTCTACTAGTGTCTACACGCTATTGACCGGCCTTATCCTCCCTGCCCCGTTCCACCATCCAAGGCACAGTTCTCACCACAGCCACCTGCACCAAGCCAACTGTTGAAGCGACTGCCATGAAGTCTCCGACTCACCAACATGGAAGAGGAAATCAGGTTTGGGGGGGAAGACGGAAGACGATGTTCCTCTACAAACGGGGTGGTGTCCACTTCCATGTTAGTGGGTCGGAGTGTATCTAACTTTATATTCTACGTTGAGTCTAGCAGGACCCTGCCTGTCTTGATGGACAGCAAGGTGCTTTGCTGAACCTCCTTGGGGTCAAAGAATTGCCGATGGACCGAAGCCGCTTGGAAGACCAACTCCAGCAAGGGCTGGTGGTAGATGTCGCCGATCTGTGGCAAATGGCGAAAGATTGGCTGGAATGCCTTTTGTCTGATTGCGAATTCAGTCGTAATTGCGAATTTTGTACGATCTTTCAGCACCATAATTTGATGGCACAAACTTGCTCTCATGTTACTCTCCTCAGAACATCCGATAAAATCTGTAAATTCCGCACCTCGTATCATAGCTGAGTCTACTATAGTCTTGGGGTTCCGCCTCTTCTCGCTTCCAGTCGTGCCGCACCACCGCGAAGTGGCGGCTCTGGGCCCATGGGGCAGGCGGCGCCCGTGGCGCGACACGAAGGCAGCGAGGCAGGCGAAGCATGACGCGTCGGAGCGAGGGCCGTGAAGCCTTTGGGCCGATGCTCTGCCGAAGCCCTCTGCGCCGATGCTCGGCGCGCCCCAAACATCTGAAAGCAAAGCAAAATCGAACTAGGAACAAGAACGCTACGAACGGGGCTCCTGGCCTTACTACTAGGAGCAAAGGACGCTACTAGGAGCAAAGGGCATCGCTACTAGGAACAAGAAGCTACTATTACTATATAGATGGACTCTTTTTTGGGGGAGTTTCACTGCCACCTTGGCCCGCCACGAGCGCAAGATTGTAGTCAGCAATGGCATCCTGGTACTGTTTCAAAGCTCGCCTCATGCAGATGTTGTTCCATCAAGTCTTCGGTCGTGCGGCCGTACAGCTAGAGTCTATCGTTGAAAAATAAAGATGAACAAGAGTCCACCATCGGAGGTTCCTGCATCAACTCTCTCTCTCTCTGCTATGTTGACAGCATTTGACTGCTTTCTTTCAGCTCTCCCGTGCAAACCGTATGGGCCTGGCCTCACGGCTCCACGGCTGGCCAGCGCCGCTGTGTGGCGTGGACTCGGGAACAGGAACAAAGGTGGACGGGATCTGCAAGTCCAATTGGGAGATATTGGGAACAAATCCCACAGACCAGGAGGTTGTACAGGGAAGGTCCTCTGAAAACAGAAGGGTCTGTGGAAGTGTGTTGTTTTGTTCTGGATCTTCGGGACTCTCTTGAATTGGGCTCACCGTGGCGCACCCCTTCTTCA